AAAAACAAGAGAGTTGGGATGGGAAAGTCTTGGTTCATGTGATCGGATAAGGCTGTTGATGTATCTTCCAGGCTCGCACCAGTGGTCGGTGTCGCCATTAGGGTTGGTTTGTAGGGCTAAAGTGAAGTGTGTACATCACTTTGGTCAGTGGGAAATTTATTTCGTCACCCGGGTTTTGTTTGAAGTTCGAACCATGCAGAAAACGGATTGCGTGTAGTCCTCTAGGCCGCATGTGTAGCAGGATTGGATACACGTAGGGGATTTGTGAACAGTCAGTTATCCAATGATATGAACGTTGACTCTGTGTGAGATATGTATCAGTGACCTGTTATACCATGGCTAGTAGTATGACCTCGTTACTTGGATGATTAGTCTGATCGCAACTTGCATGACCTCGTTACCCGATTGATTTTTGGATTCTTCTGATTATTATATTCTAGTGGTGGATTTCATTTAGATTATTACTATTATCATTATTATTGTTCTTGCATTGGTCGTACGATCGTTTCTACTTTCCTTGTGGGATCTTGCCGTGTGCCATACACGCTGACGTACACCTGTTTTCTCTGGTGTACGTCAGATTTAGAGGACAGATAGGTCCAGTATGATGATGCATTAGAGCAGGAGTATGCCCAGCCGGAATGTCTTTCGGGTGGAACAGAAGAACAGACGGCAGCTTAGCCTTTTCTTTTACGATGGACACTAGATTATTTATGTAGTACCTTATCCTTTAGTCTTTTGAGAGACTTAGTTATTTTTATAGTACTTCCTTCTTACTTGTTGGACTATGTATTTTCTTATTTTAGTTGGACTATTTTGTAATAAGGGCATGTTTGACCCAAACTTTGTGTCTCGGATGATATTCTATTCGTGTTATGTCTCTTTTTTTTATTCTGAGTTGTTCATTATAATCTCGCCACTATGATCGGGAATCTGTGCCTTTGCATTTATTTCTTGACGCTTAGCATATTAGGTTGAGGAGAAATGTTTAATTTTATTTATTCTCCTTAATCTAATACGTCGCGGGCTTGCTCGCGTCTCGGTTCCTTGGTATTTTGGAAAGCGGGGCGTGACAGCTTGATCTTGTTATTTTCAAGGAGAAACTCGAAAATGCCTGGAACATCTTTGTCCTTGAAGGAGTACTCTTTTTGGAGTCTCGGATCCGAAGTCTTTTGCTATCTTCGGGGTTGTTGATGCGACGTCTGATTAACGTCAACAACTGCTGCAGGTGCCTTCCCCTTACTACGGGAGGCGAAGTTTGAGTTCGGAGGATTAGCCGTCGGTTGGCTCCTCTCGGTCTTCTTCCTTCTGAGGAAGCGTTCGGCCCGCTCTCCGCACATCTTCAACTCTTTCCAGGTATTGGAGGGTGCTACTTCTATAACTTCCAACACGTCCAAAGAGAGGTTGTTATGACAGGTTTGGAGGATGAAGTCCTCTGTGATTGGATCTCGACAGTTCATCGTCGTATTCCGGAAGCGCTTGACCAAGTCGTTGACTGTCTTGTCGTCTTCTTGTTTCTCATCAAAGAGTGTCCTAATTGATACCTCGGCGTCATCATTAAAGAAGTGAGCGAGGAATAAGCTCTCCAGGTCTTCCCAGCTGTTGATACTTCCGGGTTTAAGACGGCGGTACCAATCGAAGGTAGGTTCGCGAAGGGTGCCAACGAATGATCGAACCATCAGGGCTTCATTACCGGAGATCATGTCCAAGTGGGACTTGTAGTAGATCAGATGCTGAGTGGGTGAGCCCTTCCCGTCGAACGACGTGAAGTTGATCAGGTTGAACTTAGCCGGATATGGAATTGATTCCCACTCTCTTGTGTAAGGACACATAATACCGGTCTTCTTCACCTCTCGAGCAGACATCAGAGCGTTAATTTTGCTCTCGAGGTCTTTCATCTTATCGTCCTCGTCTGTATCCTTCTTTGGTCGATTTCGAGGAGGAACAACGGGGCCACCCCTAGTGTTGTTATCATTGGTAGGACCACCCCCGGCCTTGTTATTCTTAATAGGGCCACCCCAACATTTTGGTCAATGGGAGGGTCATCAGCATTGATGTATTCATCCACGTCTGAATTGCTAGCTGCTTGGCTAGCATTGTTACGACGACTGGATTCACCTAGCTGATTCGACAAAGCTCGGATTTGTTGGTCGTGTATTTGTCTCATCTCCTGCATAGCCATTTCCATTTTGTAACCACTTTATCATGTTCTTGGATAGATTCAGATCAGTTGGAACAAATCCAGGTGGTTAACATAAAAAAATAGCTTAAAACTGCCAAAAATAGGTTTTCGGGGGTGTGGACACCCGTGGGTGTCTCGGCCTGACCGAGACAGTCAGAGTGTCTCTGCTTGTTTTGCATCTAACTCTCTCATATGATCTCCAAATGAAGTGATTCAAGATGCATTGGAAATCTGACGAAGATATCTACAACTTTTGTCTTTTGAGTTTCTTTATATTCGAATCGAAGCTTGGTCAAAATCTATATTCTTCTCTGAGACACAAACGCTGTCTCGGAATTCCAAAGCAGTTTGTACTATCTTTGATATTTTGGCTTTATCTCTCTCATCTGATCTCAGAATGAGTTGATCGAAGATGCATTGGAAATCTAACGAGAAGATATATAACTTTCATCTTTTGAGTTTCTTTAGATTCAAAGCAAGACACTCTCTACCATGGCCGAGACATTCCAACTGTCTCGGCCTTGGCCGAGACAGTGTAAATATCTCTCTGTTGTTTTGCCTCTAACTCTCTCATACGATCTCGGAATGAGTTGATCCAAGATGAGTTGGAAAGCTAACGGGGAGATGTACAACTTTTATCTTTTGATATTCTTCATATTCAAAGCGAAATAGTCTCTACCAGGACCGAGACAGTCCAACTGCCTCGGCCTTGGCCGAGACAGTGCAAGTGTCTATTCACTATTTTGCCTCTAAATCTCTCATCCGATCTCGGAATAAAGTTATCCAGGATGCGTTGGAAATAGGACAAAGATACCTACAACTTTTATCTTTTGAGATTCTTCAGATTCGAATTGTATCATGGCCAAAATATGCGATACATAATTGGTGTCTCGCAGGTGCGAAACAGTCTGTACTGTCTCGGGTATTTTGGCTCTAACTCCCTCGTCCAGCCTCGGAATGAAGTGATCCAAGGTGCGTTAGAAAGCTCACGAAGATGTATACAACCTCCCATGGATGAGACATCTATGAGATGAGCAATAAATGAGTGGTGCTTACTCCTTTGTGGGTGAAACGTAACCCCAGGTCGAGTCGCTTCTTCGTTATTGTACCATCCCGTTGATTTGTATACTTTATCAACTCGCTTCGTGCATTTGTTAGCTTCAAATAATTCTCATTAACTTGGATAATAACGCTCATCGTCTTTTCTCTGTCTCGAGCCGCGTGCGGGAATCCGTGGGTAATTTTTGACGCATACATAATTATGTGGATGACCCTATAATATGCATAATTACAAGAGTAACATTGAAATTACTGATTTTATCTACATAGATAACTATTAGAAAGAAAAAATAAATAAAATTGAGGTTGACCGATATAATTATAATCAATATATAATTACAATCAAGAATCACAAGATTATCCTTGAAGATACCCGTGTAATCGCACCATATCTTAGGGTAGTTGGATGTAATTAATTCTAAAAGATTATATTAAGCAAGTTTCAATTTGAACAAGAAGCAATTCCTCTATTTTGCAAGTTGTATTCTTAGAATAAACATTTTGGATTGCAAGAATATTCAACTAGACATATGTGTATATATTGCAATTTTCATGTAATTGGACGAGTATGAATAATATCAGAATGTTATGAATACTATCATAATATTTTGTAATAGTAATTTTATTTGGATTCGGATCCTCTCTAATCAGAGTGCTATTCGCACTTGAAATCTCTATTTAAAGAGATGAATTATAATATGTAAATTAAGTTAGTTGAGAAGAAATACAAGAAATCCTTCAAAGTAGAGTATTGCTTGCTCTGACCAAAATTTGTATTTAAATTTTGTTCTAGTTTCCCGAGAGTTTTAAATTGCCCACCGCATATTAAGCTGGGTAATGACTGGGCCACAACCCAAAAACGCCCAACATGTTTGCTGCAGTAGTTTGAAGAGTCAAGGGCTCCATGGCTCAGTTTGCTCAAGGCCCAACATGGTCGTGGTTCCACAATCCATGCACGTGATTATCAACTAACGCATCGCCCCCGAGGTCACGTGATACTACCCGTCCCCGACAGAGACTCACGATCTGACGGTCAGTTTGATCCCGTATCTGATGCTGAGAATCGGGTTGGGGTTTCAGCACCTGGACACGTGTCGCACAGACAGGGGATGGAGTTGAGTGGGTCCCATTTTCAATAATAGGGGTACACCCCCAACCACATCCCAAACCATACCCCCTCTCTCATATGTTACAGTGCACCGGGCCTCACATGAGATTTTAAAATTTTAAAATCCCATGTGAGACCCGATGCACTGTAACATATGAGAGAGGGAGTGTGGTTTAGGATGTAGTTGGGGGTGTGCCCCAAGTGCCACCCTTGAAAAATTAAAGCATTGCAGAGATTGCTCTCCGATCGTCGTGCTCACCATGATGTAGCTATCATGATATAGTTTAAAATTAGCTATGTTAAAAAAAATAGTTTTAAGTTTAAAAATTATAACCTTTTTGTCTTAAACCATGTATATTTTTTTAATAAATGCGTTATTAATAAGCAATTCACATAATTAATCTCTCCAACTGGTCCCCACCCAATTCCGGGTTGCTCACGTATACCCAATGAGCTTAATTATTTCTCATATTTATAGTAATTTTTCTCATGAGAATATCAGATTCGACTTGTTTCTTATTGTAGGACGCTTGCATAGAACATCAAAATTTTGTGACTAAAGACTAATTTAAAAAAAAATAAAAATAATACTAACGGGGAAGTAAAGCTCGCAACTCAGAAGGACTTTTCCATAATAATAATAAACCCTCTTGCTGACCCAGCCCACTTTCGATTAACAAACTACCTCCTCGATTAAAAAAATTAAATTAAAAGAAAAAAGAACTAAAACAAAACTGGATCCCTTTCTTCTTCCTCTTGCCTTCGCTGTTCGAAATCACGCTACAAGTTCTAGAAACCTAACCCTAGCCCTAGAAATCTCCCCCAAATGCTCGTTGCTTTCAATTGAAGATGAGGCTGCCACCTCGGCGATTGAGGATCCCTCTCCTCGCTCTCAGTGGTCTCCTCTTCTTCACCTCTTTCCTCTTCTTAGCAATCGTCCCTGCCGATTTCTCCCCTGCTCTGCGTAATCTAAATTCCACTCTCTAAATATTTTTTTTTTTGGGGGTAAAATATTGATGACGTATGCTGATTATTGTCTTTTAATCTTTTTCCCCCGATGCAGAGCATTACCAGTTGATTGGGGAGAACTCTGTTATAGTGAGAAATCTCTGATCTAAAGACTAATTCGTTTTTTTCATTTTTAATTTTTTAATATTCAAGGGGTTTTTTTTGTTTTGTTTTTGAATGCAGAGGAAAACAACTGAGAAGCTCAACTCAATCAAACGGGTACTGGATTATTTGTTAAGCTGACTATCTGAATTAAAGCGCGAAACTTTTATGTGTTTGTTGAGTTGAGTTGTTTGTTTGGTGAAGCACAGGAAATTAATGGGGGATTGAGAGTACCTGCTGAGATTGTCTTAAAAGATAGAAATTATCACGCGCCAGCTGAAAATGCTGTGCAAAATGAGAGGAGTGGTGGTAATTTATTGGGAACTATTAGCTTTCTTCTTAAAATTTTTGGGTGGTGTTTTTGTTTTATTTATTGAACTAATGTTTGTTTACCTCTTTAACTGTAGGTTTGAGAGACGCTGGTGATGGCGAGGAAGTTAAGGAGCACGATGCTCCGAAATTTTCTGTTGAAAGGGTGAGTATCTATCCTTTTCTTTTCTGTTCTTTGAATCAGGTAAAGTCTTTAGTGATTTTATTAAGTGAATGGAAATAAAACTGGCTGTACCCAGATTATAAAAGCCTAGTGGGCGTTGAATGATACCGAATTAAGTAAGTTTTGAACAAATATTTTCTACTTGGATTATAACTTGAATAGCTTTTATGAGAATCAGAAAGAGAAAGATAAAAGTTTTATAGAATCATTTTTGTCCTTTCCTTACATGGTCCTTTCAATTTTCCACATTTTGCTTTGCAGGAGAAACCTGCTCAGCTATCTATAGGAGAACAAAGGGGATCATCTCGGCAACATCCCATAATAAATGAGAAGGTTGGTGAGATGGAAGATCAGCTAATCACAGCCCAGACTTACTTGCAATTTGCACCGCCAAATAGTAATTCCCATTTAGTAAGAGAATTGAAGGTGAGAATTAAAGAAATTCAAAGGGTACTTGGTCACTCCAGAGGTTCTAGTTTACCGAGAGGGTAAGTTGGTTTATGTATTAATTTATTTATACGCAAACTGTTTACATGTTAGGAAATTATTCAATCATTCATCGAGATTTTATCATATGTTTTGATTGAGATGAGAAAAACTATCCAGTGGTTTACAGAAAATGAGGGCGATGGAAGAGACATTGTCCAAGGCCAACAAGGCTTATCCAGACTGCTCTGCAATGGCATCAAAGCTACGTGCTATGACACAAAATACAGAAGAACAACTCAGAGCCCAACTGAATCAAGCTTCATATCTTATTCAGCTTGCTGCCAGCACTTTCCCTAAAGGTCTTCATTGCCTATCCATGCGCCTTACTACACAGTACTTCACTTTGGAGCCTAAGGATCGCCAGTTTCCTAATACAAACAAAACTCAGAGAGAAGATTTATATCATTATGCCATTTTTTCTGATAATATTTTAGCATGCGCCGTGGTAGTGAACTCCACAATATCCTCTTCTCAGGTGAGATTACCTATAATTTGTTATGTGGTTTTCTCATTTTTTTTTGATGTTTTATGTGCAAAGTTTGCCATATTGCACCTTAAGTACTGCTCAACACATTACTATGCTCCATAATTGGTCTTGGCACCATTAATGCATATAAGCAGCCTAACCAAAGACTATAACTTGTATGCGCTAGAACTGACTTACATATCATGAATCACCTCTTGTTCATGTAACCTTATAAATGGATTTGTTCTGCTGGCAGTTTGGATGTGCCATCTTTTTATTCAAGCTTATATGATTCAGGTCCCTTATTGCTCAAATTTAATTCCTATGCCATGTAACTAGCCTGATTATTTTCAAAGTTTTCAAGATCATGTGGTTTGGGCATATAATCATTTATTTAAGGCATATGTGTTCAATAATTGAAGTCTTATAAGGATAAAAAAATGTCCGGTATCATTCTCCATTGGAGGTCCTTTCTCTTGATTTGTCACCCTTAACTTCTTCCACCTCTTATGGCGTAACTTGTGTGGGGTTGGACTATTAGAGGTAAGCTAATTTGACCTGGTTGATAGACCTCTAATTTGAGCCAGCAAGCTGAAAATCCTATACTAGGATCAATGTTCAAAAGTGTGATTTATGCGGCTGCATATTCATCAGAAAATTGCTGTTATATACCCGCGTTAAGTAATTATAAAAAGGAACTAGCAATGACCACACTAAAAAATGACGTGATATAAATAATTAGTATGTGCATGCGCATGCAGGAGCATAAAGAATGTTGTCATGTTTAAATTTTGACCCCATATGCATCACATTTAACTTATAAGGGCTATATAAATACAGAGGTACCAACATCTCTCCCTCTCCCTCTCTCTTTAGTAATTCTACTGTCCTCTTCCCTTCCACTTATCTCTTTCCTGGGTATTTACTCATCTCTCATAAAGTGTGTTCTTTGAACTTTCATTTGTGCTTGTCTTATATTGTGTGTCAGGTTTAGACATTTATTTATGTCGTGGACTTGTGAATGTGTCTTCATATGGTTATGCACAATTACATATTTACAAAGTTAAATAATCAGTTTTTAGCCTCTAATCTATGTCCATTTATTTTGCACATGTAGTAATTTACTTATGTTCCTAGGTTAAATATCCTTCGTATTCTAACTTTGAAATTGGAAACTCATGAATCTTTTGTGGATGGGTTGTTAGTTTCCTTGCTTTGCACGTACATTTTTAAGGTAAACTTACATTGTGAAAAAGTTGCATAAGTTACTATGCATGAAAGTTTCAATAGTTCCTGTTATCAGATGGATGGGTTATATAAAACCAAAAAATAAAATAAAAACCATCAACATCTCTTTCTCGACTTTGCTTCACAGATTAGTAGTGAAAATCTTCAACAAAAGAAACCTATATTTGGTGTAAAAATTAACTTTTTGGTGTTTCAAAGTTCAGTTCTGTTGATAGTTCCGCAATACACTTCAAGAAATTTCTTTTTTCCCCCTCTAAAATCAATTAGCTGTTGCAAATGGTGTGTGCAGTGGTCGTTGGATCTGGGAGTGCCGGCACTGTAGATATTTAGAAGATCATTACAAGGAGAGCATGATTATAGAACCAGTGCTTGGGTATTATGATCTACGTTCACAGGCAATAGAGGATTACAAAAGTTGAGAACCTCTACCAAAGCTGATACATCGTTACATCCTTATAAATCCATTGCAAAATAGAGAAGAAATCCTCATGGATAAACACAAATATTCTCTCTTATTAAATTTAATTTCCTTCAAACAATGTGCAAGTGCAACCCTTATAATAACATTTATACGAGTCTTTAAGGTTATTTAGAATGTTCAGAACAAGCAAAATTGCTTACACAACCAGCAGTAATTGATCAGATGATTGAGGGATCAGCATTCTGATTGTCCAAATTTTCTAGAAAGCAAATGCAATAGGTTGAATGAGTGTCTGATCAACTGATCAGTACTCCACCAGATGACAGTATTCAAAACTGACAACATCCAAGGCACAAACTCAATCAGAGCAATAATATTTTAGTGGAAAATGCTCGATAGCCCATAAAATCTGATGACGGCAATGGTATATGATCTATCATCATAAGACAAGCCTAAGTCAAGCATCAAGAGAACTAATATGATGCAAATGAATATATCAAATAATGCCAGCATTGTCCCTCATATCCTAGCATTCGCCTAGGATGCCAACATGGTGTGCAAAAATGCTTGTCTAACTATTCTTTGGTGCATTTATTATAAATAAGACTGAAGTTCTTTGATGAGAATTTACTCACCCTAGGGTCACAGCATTAAGGGAAAGAACGAATAGTTCTTTATTAAGGTTGCTGATAATTGATCCACCCGACTGCAGCTGTAAGCATTTAGATAGGCTCTACAACTTGAAGCAATAGATTCAAAAGGTTCTTGATTTGGCTCTCTTTTTGGTTGGCTCTACGACGGTAGAGATTGTTAGAGAGATTAAGTGCTTTCTGTAGTGTAATTAGGATTGAGCGAAAGAAAGATCTTCACATTGTACTCCTCACTATTTAGTTTCTCCTTCACTTGTGGACGTAGGCTACAAGCCAAACAACGTATATATGTATGTATTTTTGTTCTCAATATTGTGATTGATATTAGTTAATCCTAAGGATTTGTCAATTGTCATAAAAAATTGGCATTAGAGCCCTAAGCTATCAATCAGATGAGAATATGATGACAACTACTACGAAGTGAGATATTGAGAAGTTTGACGATAACATTAGTTTTAGCTTTTTGCAAGTTAGGATAATCATTGTGAAGACGCAAAATGGATTGAGGAAGAATTTGTTCTGGAAGTTGAAAAAATTGGCTACCATGTGTGAGGATGATTGGATTGGACCATTACAGAGATATGAAGATATAGTAGCTTATGCATCATCAATTGATGATTATATACCATTCTTCTATTCAGGAGCTACTTCAACTTATGACTCTGCAAATTAGTTAGTTATTCGTATGGATTATTCAGTTGGTAAGCTGTCGAAGTCTCTTTCAATTTGTGAGTCTTAAGAGGTGCTTGGGCTTAATCAGTATGTGTTGCACTTAGTGCCTAGTGGGACTATTGGAGAAAGTAAGTTAGCTTAATTTGGAGTGAGAAATTTTTTTAATATTTGAATCAAGGTGGAGATTTGTTATGGGTGATTCAAATTCTAATCCTTGAATAGGATATGCAAAATCCAATTAGAGTTTCTATAAGCCATGCCTAGTATTAAGATTAGAACAAAAGAGTTCGTTTATTCTACTGAGATTAAGATTCTTTTGTAGAATATTGTGGTTAGCAACAACACTTATCTTTAGTCTCTATTAATAAGATAGAAGCTCTTTTATGAGCATTTACCCACTCTAGGGTCGTAGCATCAAGAAAAGGAACGAATAGTTCCTTATTAAGGATACAAGCAAATGATCCACTTGACGATAGCTGTAAGCAATGAGACGGGCTCTGCAGGTTGAAGCAATAGATTCAAGAGGTTTCTGACTTGGCTCTCTTTTTGGTTGGCTCTACAGGCAGTCGAGATTGTTAAAGAGATTAAGTTCTTTCTGTAGTGTAATTTAGGATTGAGTGAAAGAGAGATCTCCACATTGTATTCCTCATTATTTAGTAAAGCTATTATCCTCCTTCGCCCGTGGATGTGGTCTACAAGCCGAACCATATGTGTTTTTGTGTTCTCAATATTTTTCTCATATTTTCGTGTGATTGATATTAGGTTATCCTGGGGATTTGTTATTAACCATTCTATATTTTCCTCCTAGTTTCTTTGATTCTTTTTATTATTACCTTTTAAATATGTTACTTCTTGATGAAGTTCTGCTTTTCCACATCGTAGAAATGTAGCTTTTTGCAGGTTGCGGTCCATCCAGATTTTTGCCTACTCAGATTTGTGATCATCTTTCTTTCAGTTTTTTTGGCCAGTCAGACCTTTCTTTTAATTGTTGTCATATTGATTTCGACTTAATTTTCAATCATGATTTGTTTGTACCATCATATTTATATATTTAATGTTAATATATTTAGCAATAATGTTAAGATAGAAACACTAGTAATAAACTTTATCGTTGTCTCATCTTACTTTCTAATGTTTTTATGAAAAAGAAAACTCTGTGATCCATGATTCGTAACTTAACTCTGACTTTCTAAATTGATATCATGTTAAGTTATTTTGAAAACATAAGCATTGTGTTTTGCTTCCTTTCATTATGTTGGCATTATCAAGTTGCTTACGATCAAATGCAAAGTAAAATGTTAGATATGTTGTTTGTTAGGGCGCTAGCATTTAAACTTTTTTGTGTCACAGATGCTATTCTTCTTGCATATCTTCACTCCAGCCTCCATTCTGGCTTTCTGCATCTAAGCTCCAATCGTAGGTGGCCATATTCTGCTGTATGTTGGGAAAGATGGTAACCTCTCCTGTCATAATCCTCCACCCTCCTAATTCAAAGGCTAAACTTTCTTCTCCTTTGTTCTCATCTTTCTCAGGACTTCTAGTTTTCTTTGCACGGTTAAATATCAAGCTTTAGTCGTGGATTGACTAAATGCACTTAGGACTAAATTGATTAGCTTGCTGATAGAGATCTGATTTACCTAGAAAGCTCAAAAAAAGGAATGCTCTGACACAATAATAATCTAGGTGGCACTCAACATGATGGGATCACCCTTTTTTAAAAAGATGTAGTTGCCACTCTCTTGACTTGTCAGGCAAAACTATGTTTCTCAAATTCAGTTACACACCAGGTTTACAATAACCACGATTTCTTAAGAACCTTTTACTTTGAACAACTCTCAAGCATAATTTCCTTCTTTACTTGTTTCTTTGTCCCTCATCATGAGATGTATGTTAGAAGCTGTTAAGCTTTATCAAAATCAACTTTGTAACCTTTTCATGTAAGAGTAATTTGCATGTCAACATGTTTGATTTTGTGTTCTTTTTTATGGATAATATCACTTTTATAAACACATAATATCCGGTTTTAACCTCACCTATTTTTATCTTTTGATGGCATGCTTCGACATCTTTCCCTGGTTTCACAAACTTAAAACGTGGAACCAACCAGGACTGACCCACTATCTATTCTATGTAGTTTAACCCATTTTTTTCACTAGTTGATCAAATTTACAATTTTTCACCAGCGTTACCACATTTTCTTAGTCTAATTCTGTGTAAATACTAAACAGTTATTCGGTTATATTTACTGTCTTTATTCGTTAGAGGGTACTGTTCTTGTCTTATGCATGTCATTAAGATTTTTGGATATTGTCATAGCACTTGGATTTTGTAATTTCTTATTTTAATATTGCTTTTCCTGAATCATTTTAGTTGATCCTGTAAGGTACGGCTACAAATATGGAAGTTAAACTCAAATGGAACATAAGACATGTTTAATTTGATTCCCATGCCCCATAACTCGATGAGCCTAGTTCATATTTTTGCTCCACGTGAATTTCTTGGTAAATCATAATTTGTTGCCTACTATTTTTGCAGGCACCTGACCAAATTGTCTTTCATATAGTGACTGATTCTCTTAACTTCCCAGCAATGACGATGTGGTTTCTTTTGAACCCACCTGGGCGAGCCACAGTTGAGATACAGAACATGGACGATCTCAAATTGCTTCCTCAAGATTTCAGTTTAATGGTTAAGCAGTCAGGTGTACGAGATCCACGATTTATTTCGCCACTCAACCATCTTCGCTTTTATTTGCCAGATATTTTTCCTTACCTGAACAAGGTTTTACTTTTGGATCATGATGTGGTAGTCCAGAAAGATCTTAGGGTGTTGTGGAAAATAAATATGAAGCGCAAAGTAATTGGTGTTGTTGAGACATGCCAGAAAGGTGATTCATCTCATCGACTGGATACGCTCGTTGACTTCTCTGAACCAACAATGGCAAAAAATTTTGATGCCAAGGCATGTCTGTGGGCATTTGGGATGAATATATTCGACTTGCATGAATGGCGGAAACGAGGTTTAACTCGAGTTTATAGTAAATGGCTTCAGCTGGTAAGGGAAAGCTTTTAGCGCTCATTTTTACTTTTATTCCTTTTCCTTCCCCCCCAAAAAAGTTTCCTCTTCTTTTAACAAGCATCTCAAGCGGGTTCAGAATATAATGTTTTTTAAACATGGTAACTATATTTAGAGCACATTTAAAACTCATAATTTCTTGCTTTCTCTATATATATGAATATAATATATACATCTGTGTCTAATGTTTGGCTGCAAAATGTAAAGAATGGAAAAGGATCATGTTACCTGAAGCAATTCAATTAACTTTTAAATAGGGACATGAAACGTGCAGTGCCTGGATACATTTAACTAGACATGGAAACCTGTGATAAGAAAAAACAGTTTTTAACTGGAGCACTAAGCACATAGTCTTGTACCTCAAGGTTACCTCTTAACTGTATCGATCCTTATGAGACATTTCATCGATAAATTTATTCTAAGGTTATCTGTTACATTTATGGCTTCCCAGGGAAGGAGGAGGCAATCATGGAAAGCAGGAAGCTTGCCATTGGGTCAGCTAACATTTTACAACCACACAAGAACTCTTGATAGACAATGTCACTTAGTTGGACTCGGACAGGATTCTTCAATGAATAGATCAGAGATCGATAAGGCAGCAGTCATCCACTATACTGGAAACATGAAACCATGGCTTGAGATTGGTATTCAAAGATACAGAGGTTATTGGAACAAATTCCTCAATTATGATCAGCCCTTTTTACAACAGTGCAACATCCATGAGTAGCCCCTGTTGGAGGCTTTCGTTCTAGTTGTTGTTTCTTAAAAATTTCAATAGTTGTTTACCGATTCTTTCTCTTCTTGTAATGTAAAATCATCGCTCCATATTTTGTCTTTCTTCACCCAACACAGCTGCCGTTTATAGCCCATCCCATTCTTTTTCGCAGACCCTGATAGAATAAGAGTTATCCTTTGGAGCTCTTTTCCTCTATATTTTTACCGAATACCCTCTATTGATGTAAGAACATATTAACAGAGTGTACATTTTGGCTCAGAAACCTTAAAATTTCATATGATTGTTTTTTTTTGTTTTTCAGATATCTTGTTTTTGCAGCTTATATCTTCGATTCCAGTGCTTGTTTTCTGGATGTAAAATTGGCAACTTGGAACGTCTGTTAGTGATAGAAGTCTCTGTTTGTTTTGCTGCTTTTATTGCATAAACCCTTCGGCGTACTAAATCTCCTAAAATGGTTCCTTGAGTAGAATAGCATCAACTCTCCATGATAAGGATAGATACGTGCACGTGGAAGTTATTGGTTGGATGGGAGAGGATGAGGTTTCCGAAGAGGGCCAGCCACTGAGTCACACCGATGAAACTTCCAATATTGCAACAGTCGAACATGTAAGCTTGTTTTCATCTTCATATTTCGCTCTTCCTGTCTGCTTCTTTGCTGCTTTCTATTTCCTCTCTGAGCCAAGAATAATGGCCACAGCATGTTGCCCCTCTTCAGCTATTGCCCGCGCTGTGCTCGCTTCCAAGGCGGCGATTCCCGTCACCTCGCCGCAAGTTCTTGGTACCCATCGCAACTTCTTAGTGATTTAAAGAAATTTCGTGTCAGTTCATTGCAACATTCGGCTATTTTCTTTTGCTGTAAGCCATTAGAATTCTATACGCGTTTCATGAAAATTATAAATACATCTTTTAAGGACCAATTCTAAGGACATGTTAATCAAGAAAAGCTGAAAGCTGAAGTTAAACTTGATTGTGGTTTCGTCCTTTATTCCCTCTGACTTAATAGGTGTGCCTCAAACTGCAACGAGGATAGCAACAATGAGATGCTCACCAGAGAAGAAGCCACACCGACGTGACACCCAACGAGCCTCAACTGCTGCCATGACCTCGTCGCTTGTGCTTGCGGCGAGTAGCGTAATGAGCACCCCTGATGCGGTTCTGGCCCTGGTCGACGAGCGAATGAGCACGGAAGGAACAGGTCTGACGCTCGGCATTAGCAACAATTTATTGGCGTGGATACTTCTTGGTGTGTTCGGACTCATTTGGTCCCTTTATTTTGTGTACACATCTGATCTGGATGAGGATGAGGACTCTGGTCTTTCCCTTTAAGAAATTCAGTTTGTATTAGAAAAAGAATGAAGAAAAGCAGATAACTGCCAAGTAAATTTTAAAATGCCTTGCCTTATTCGCTTTTATTCAATAAAAAAAATATTTTCTTTCTATTTTTGAGAAAATGAGGAATTTTTTAGACACTCTTATTAGTTAGCTCTCTCTCTATTTGGACGAGCAGGAAAAACTTGGAGAGCAAAGAGATTTATACTTATAAATCATCGTAATACTTACTACTTTTGGTTTAATTGAAAATTCTTCCTTGAATCTTCACTTTCCTTCAGGAATTTTACATTTCTCTTACCATTCACATTGATAAATGAATCATCACCTTATCCTACTTCATCGAGGATAATCTATTTATTATTTAAAATTTAAGAAATAATTTTATTTATTCACTAATTAAGATATAATACATAAACTATTTAATTAATCGTATTAATGGACTAGATCCTAATCATTTATTTAATTCGAACAACTAAGAAATTTCATTAGATTTATCTACAAAAAGAATTTTTTAGTAAATACGTTTAGTAAATATTCTTAATTTGTAATTAAATTCTTACTTGATGAGTTCTTAAATAATAATAAAAATTCTTACCAATAGAATCTAAGACAAATTAGGAGGCACAATCTACTACTTATAAACTAACGGAGAACAACAAAAAAGTTCTGATGAACAGTAAATCATAAGTGGATCAATCAAAAGGAGCCATGTCATCCCCTCAAAATGAGCCACGTTATTATTTCCCCTCTCTTCTACCGCCTCCCTTCCCGCATCTCTCTCCTATTGCATCCCTCTCCTACTACGCAATCTCTCTCCTATTGCATCCCTCTCCTACTACGCACGTTCTTCCTCCTAATCGATTTTAAAATTCAAAAAGCCCCCCTCTCGAGATTCCCCTGTAAACCTAGAAGTTTCTCCACTAAATAACTTCCCCAGAAGTTTCTCCGTTTCCTCCCCTTTCCTTTTCCATCAAACAAACCATAAACCCTCTTCCCCCTCTCTCAATGGAAGTTCGTCTCAATGCGCAAGTTCATGTGAACAGTGCACCATGCGTTGTGTGAACGCGTTATTTGTGAACGCGGCCTAGTTTCAACGTGGGAGGTTACGTCGTGGGGGCCACTACGTTCATGAAGGGGCCAATCAAGTGCAACCTATATATATACCTAGTTTTGTTCTAGGTTAAGGCGCAGGTAGAGGGTGAGAGCGCAAAAGGCGGCTGTGGGAGTTTTGGCTGTGGTTAATTCTTTTGGCTGAGGAGAATTTTTGTGCAGTCCTTTTGTGGTTTTTTTTGAGAGGGTTTTTTGCATCTCCTTTGTGAGAGATTTGAGAGTTTGTGTGAGAGTTTAACTTGTGTGATTGTAAACCCTAGTTGTATTCTCTCCATCTAATAGTAGATCCCCCCTCCTTGCCCCGTGAACGTAGGCAATTTATCGAACCACGTAAATTGGTTGTCTCGCTATTTGTGTGATTTGCAATAGCTTATTTAGGTTCCCTCGACAGTCAGTCCTAGAACTGATGAGAGGAAGAGCTGATATCCCACTTTTTTGAGATATTTTGCTTAAGGTTCTTGTTTCATTGGTGAAACGAGAATTCCTATTGCGATCTAACTCTCTTGTTGTGCTGTCGAGGTGCTGCCGAAATTTTCGCTGCGCGCAACAAGTGGTATCAGAGCCCAAATTTTAGATCTAGGGTTTTTGGAATTAGGTGGAGGAAGATTCTTGTGTGAAGCTTGGTTCTTGGAGTTCTAGGCTTCGGTGGAGATAGCATTAGGAGTTACCGTTGGAGATTTTGCTTTCCTCGTGTGGACAGGAGATCTATTTGGAATCCGTTCTAGGGTTCAGTTGGATAATTCTTAATATCTATCAAAGTTTGATTTTTTCTCTACAACTTAGAGTTAGTTTGCAATGAGAGAAGAAGGTGAAAGCAACAAGTCGATGGCGAGTACAGTTCAAGTTGGTTTTCAGAACACCAAAATTAGTATGGTGAAATATGACGGTAAAATCAACTTTGGTTATTGGATGAGCGACGTACAGGATGCGCTCAATGCTCAGAACTTAGAGGAGACCATCATGGTTCACGAGAGACCGCCAAAATATGAAGAGGTGATATGAGAAAAGATAAATGGGAACGCTTATAGGGTGATCAGGTCCTGTTTGGAACAGGAACTAAAGTATGATGTGATTGAGGTGACGTCTGTGATGAAGATGTGAGAAATTCTCAACAATAAGTACCTTACGAAGAGTGTTAAGAATATATTGCATTTGCTGCGTAGGTTATTCAGATTCCAGATGTCCAGAGGTACCTCGCTTGCGGCTCATGTGAACAACTATATGAAGTTGTTGTCGGACTTGGCGAATGTTGATGAGAAGATTTCGGATGAGTACAAGGCTATTATCTTATTGGGCTCCTTACCGGATGAGGAGTATGACACCTTTATACTCACTTAGTTGAATGGAAGATCTTCTATCAGCTATAGTGAAGTTACTAATACATTGACGAATTATGATTTGAGGAGGAAGGACAAAGAAACTTCCCGTGCTAGTACTTCAGGCGAGGCCTTATCGACGAGAGGTAGAAGCCTATATCCGAAAGGTGATAATAGAGGAAGGTCAAAGTCAAGAGGTCGTCACCAGCTAGGAAAGAACCAATGTGCATTCTGCAAGGAGCAGGGACATTGGAAAAGAGATTGCCCGAAGCTCAAGGATAAGGAGAATAGCAAGAAAAAGGGCCCGAAGGCTAATAAGGTGAATATTAAGAAAGGCGATGATTCCGATGATTCGAGCTTTTCTCTATTGATTACTCCGGAGGTGAACCACTTGGATACATTAGATTGGATGCTTGATTCCGGCGCTACCTATCATGTGACCCCTAGGCGAGATTGGTTTGCATCTTTTGAGAAGCTCGATGGGGGAGTTGTAGTCATGGGAAATGATCAGTCCTGTGGTATTTGTGGGATAGGTACTATGCAGATCCGGATGCATGATGGAATAGTTCGTGAATTGAAGGAGGTGAGATTTGTTCCTCAACTAAAGAAGAATCTTATCTCAGTTGGAGCTTTGGAGGCGAAGGGATTCAAGGTAACCTTTGAGGACGCTGTAGCAAAGGTTACTAAGAGATCTTTAGCTGTGATGAAGGGAGTTCACAGTCGGAATTTATACTATTTGAAGGGGAGTACCAAGATTGGCCAGGTTGCTTCAGCTATTTCAGAGGCGGACATGAGCAGACTTTGGCATTACAGGTTAGGGCACACAGCTGAGAAGTTACTACAGGCGCTATGCAAGCAGGGGCTATTGAAGGGAGCAAGGAGTGGTAAAGTAAAATTCTGTGAGCACTGTGTTCTTGACAAGAAGACGAAGGTGAAGTTTAGGATGACTATTTATAAGATAAGGGACATCCTGGACTACGTGCACACAGATGTTTGGGGTCCTACCAAGACTGCATCACTTGGTGGTCGACATTGGCTACGTGCACACAGATGTTTGGGGTCCTACCAAGACTGCATCACTTGGTGGTCGACATTGGTTCGTCACGTTCGTTGATGACTATTCCAAGACTGCATCACTTGGTGGTCGACATTGGTTCGTCACGTTCGTTGATGACTATTCTAGGCGATGTTAGGTGTACACCACGATGAATAAGAGTGAAGTCCTAGATTTGTTTGTGGAGTAGAAGAAGAGATTGAAACTACAGACTGGGAGAAAGGTCAAGACGTTACGATCTGATAACGGTGGTAAATATACTTCAGACCCCTTTCTACAGCTATGTCGAGACGAGGGTATAGAGAGGCACTTCACGATTAGTCATACACCATAGCAGAATAGGGTGGCAGAGAGGCTAAATCGGTCTTTGCTGGAGAAGGTCCGATATTTATTATCATAGAGTGGTTTGGAGAAGATCTTTTGGGCTGAGGCACTTACATATGCGACCCACCTTATTAATAGGTTGCCTCCATCTGCGATTGAGAGGAAGACCCTTATGGAGATGTGGTCGGGAGAGCCAGCACACGACTATGACTAGCTCAAAGTATTCGTGTGCCCTATATTTTATCATGTGAGAATAAATAAATTAGAACCTCGAGCTAGGAAGACTATATTTGTAGGATTCAAACGTGGTGTCAAGGGATACAAGCTATGAGATCCAGTTGATAGAAAGATTATGCTGAGTAGGGACGTTACATTTGATGAGGCTTCTATCTTGAAGCTTCCTAGCTCTCATCAGGTGGAGAGAGACCCGACAGATGAGATATCATAGGTGGTAGAGATCGATGCAACTCCACAGTGTCCAGATGGTGCAGTATTAATTAGAGTGCCGACTGAGGTGACGCCAGGCGAGCACGACAATGACACGGAGGATACGGGTACTGATGTGTAGGATCAGAGACCGACGGATCAGGTTCAGGATTCTATTACGGTTCAGAGACAGAGGAGAGACATACGGATGACACCACGGTATGCCGACACAGTTGCGTATGCACTTCCGGTGGAGAGTATCGATGAGATAGTGCCTACTATATTCAGAGAGGTTGAGCAGAGTTCAGAGGCTGATTCATGGCAGGTAGCTATGCAGGAGGAGATGAAGTCTCTTCATAAGAATGATACATGGGAGCTTGTTGAGCTTTCAAAGGGGAGGAAGGTAATTGGTTGTAAGTGGGTATACACGAAGAAGGATGGCATTGAAGGCACTCCATTGAGGTTCAAGGCTAGGTTGGTTGCGAAGGGCTATGCACAGAAGGAAGGAATAGATTATAATGAGGTTTTCTCTCCGTTGGTAAAGCATTTTTTGATTCGGATTTTACTAGCTTTGGTGGCACAGTATGATTTAGAGTTAGATCAGTTGGATGTGAAGACGACATTTCTTCATGGTGATTTTGATAAAGAAATATATATGACTCAGCCATTGGGATTCCGAGCTACAGGGAAAGAAAAATTAGTTTGCAGATTGAAGAAATCGCTATACGGTTTGAAACAGTCTCCTCGATAGTGGTATAGGCGTTTCGATGGTTTTTATGATTGGTCATTCGTACACTCGGAGCTAGTTTGATCCTTACATATATTTTCGTAAGTTAAAGG